ATTTTAGTGCCCTCACGTTCTTTCTTGTTCTTCAAAATTCAGCTACTTCAAAAACGTACTTTATGCACTAACTCCATTTTGTGATATATGGAGATATTTATGAGTTATCAATTCAAAGGTTTAAAAAATATTGATATATATTAATGCGCTCATTTTATGTTTCTTTAAATATTAAATTGATCCATGTTTATAATGCGAATAAAAAAAATATATATCAAAATCCTTTATTTTGATAAGATATTGAACTATATCGAAAGGATGATATCTATTTCGATATTATCGGAACATCCCTAAGCATCTGAATTTGGTATTGATGTTGTAAGGGGACAAAGTGAGACAATGTTTCGAAATTCTAAGTTGTGCGTCCTTCGATCACTTCCCTCCTCAATGCAAATATTATTTAAATATTTAACGATTTCCATTCCCAGGCACAGATCGTGAACTACTAATGACCGCGGCTACCGAAGGAGGGACAGCTGACAAAAACTCTGCTAGACGGTCAGCGAAGGACAGGCACTGCCAATCACCGGCAGACAATGGTCTATGTAAAGGGGGGCCGGTAAATTAATGTGTGAGGGGGGTATTAAAATTCGTCGAGGCCCTCCCCCCCTCTAAAAATCTGTGATTCTGATAGGTCCTTGGCTGGGCAGCTGATTAGAGCGGAGAAGATATTAGAATCACAGATGGAGCGAGCGGCTAAAGGTAAACAAATGACACTTGATTGATATCCTCCTCCATCCCCGCCTCATTACAAACGGAAATATTTCACTCTCCTCTCCCTACCCTCTTTTATTTATCCTTCCTCTCCCCCACTCCTTTCCTAAAAACCAGTCGTCTCCTTTTTTATCTATTGTTTTTTCACCCGTCTTCGGAATTTTTTCTTTCCATTATGTTTTTATATCTTCTTCTGTCTACCGTCGAGTCATCTTCTGCGGCATTAATTTTGTAGATCTTGCATTAGTTAGTGAATCAATCGGAGGCGACATATGGCTGCGATTGGATATGGAGAGGCAGGACTGAGGATTTCTTTACTACCGCCAGGTTAACCGATTTTGACTGAATAATGGAATGACTATCCTGAAACACGCATTCTATTAAAAAAAAAAAAGAGGAAGGTATTGGGTATAATAAACTTGTACCAGCACTACTATTGCATACAAACTAGATTAAAGATGACATCGCATTCAGGAATACAAATTTCCAATGAAGGTGATGTATTCAGTTTCCAATCCACAGTCATTATATTAGTTATTTCAATAATTCATGGCGCCTTTGGTAGTAAACACAAATATTATATATGAATAATGGCGAAATTTAATTCTTTACAAGACTGCTTACTATGGTGGGTGGTTAGGGGTGATTAGGGGTGGTTAGGGGTGGGTGGGGTGGTCATCATCACCCCATGTTACCAGCACTGCAAATGTTCAAGTACTAGTGACCTACAAGCTTGAGTTGAAACGGTGGCGACAATAAGATTCTTAGGAACTCACTGCGTCCTGACTATTTATCATCCATGAAAAGTACGACAGTCGACTAAATCCCTTCAATGATTACTTACTATGCAATTTTCACTAAATTGACCAACAGAATAGTTATCAGAATGAAACCAGTGACATATCAATTAACAGGAGGACTGTTAATTGATGTAAGCAGTTTATTCAGTGTCTTTTTTATAGTCATTGGTTATTCAAGATTTGAAACAAATCTAGAACATATAATTCAGAAATAAATGACATACAGTCGACTTTCGATTATTCGAAATCCAAGGGACTCCAAGAAAACTTCGAATTATCGAGATTTCGATTAAATATAACGAGATTTATCAAGAAATTTGAGTTATCAAGAAGTTTGAATTACCACGAGAAAAGAAAAAAAAATCGAACTATTAAGAGTTTGATTATATTTTGGAATATGTGTATGAGCTTACATTAATTTTATATATAAATAGCCTCGTGTAAAATATAATACTAGGAAAATTTCGAAATATAAAGGGAAGTGATATAGTTCGAATTGTAGAACGTTCTCTCTTCCTGTTAAGAAAAGAATTTCGAGTTATCAAAATACAATATTTTTTTTTCAAATCACCGAAGTTAAAAGCTGAAGAGTTCGAATTGTCGAAAAATTCGAATTATCGAAAGTCGACTGTATCAACTAATTCTTTAACCATTCTTCAAAAAACGTAGATGTCACATATTGGAGTAGCTTTGACGGCATTTGCTCAAGTCTACAAAGATAATAACACGCGGAATGTTAAAGTCCGTTTCATTCTTGTTCATCTATATCTCTTTCAACAGGCATTTTTTATTACTATCATTCGATGACGCCAAACGTTGACGCGAATGATCGAGGACTATTCAGCAAGTCGCTAGAAGAGAGTAGGTACAATACCGGGGTACAACGGCCGGGATCTCCGGAGCTGTTGGGGAAAACAAGGACATAAAGCTGGGCAAGACGTGACTCCACTCTCATCTGCTTAGCTTGTTCAAGAGTCAGCGTTTTAACTGCGCCTTTTAATTGTCTCCTCAGTTTTATTTTCCAGTCCCTCTGTTCCGCCAGGGCGTACGTCATGCGGAAAGAGGAAGTGGAGGATATTTGCAAGAGTGCAGGGACACGTTTTGCTGTCTTTGTATCCTATACTCTTAGGATAGTTTCCATAACACTAGGCGAGGAATTCGAAAAAAAAAGAAGAAAATGAGTGAAGAAGAGTCTCAATACTGTGACTAGAATCAAGTCTATTTAGATTCTTTACTGCATCGACCAATTTGATTTCACACATTACTTTTTCATTAACCGATTTGTGTTGTCGAGTCTGCACCGTTACAGGATCGCGATCGGCTATGAGCAGATAGACACTATCAGGAATCATTTTCAATAATTAGCTCAATAAAATAATCTTTATTCAGTTTATTCTGAATCTTTATTTTTTTTTAATGTATAGAGAATTAAAACCAGACCCTTTATAAGAATATGGAATGCGTTGAATGCGTTCTCGAAAAATTCTATATATTTAACTAGAAGTTAGCTTTTCTAGGGGACAAATGTAAATCAATATGGAAGGAAACAAATTTTAAAATTAAAATATAATAAAATTTGAATTATTGAAGGAAGTTAGTCGACTGTTCTGCATATCATAGATGATAAATAATCCAGACACAATCAGGTTTTAAGATTTTTATTGTTGACAACGTTTCAATCAGTGATGCCCACAAGGTGGTTACAAGTTGTGCCATCAAAATTATTGAGAGATCACTTTTTGACCGGGTTTTGAATTTTTGACGGGGGCACATTTCAACAGGGTTATAAATTCGGAACAAAAAGTTTTAAACCAATGGACAAGAAGAAGGAGAGAGCAGACCACTGAAAGTGTAATTGTGTATAAGCTATGATTTTTAAATCCTTCTTTAGCTTGCACTCTTTATAAGAAGAGGAGAGCAATAAAATATCTTGGGAGAAGGGAGAGGCAGGTTCATGCACAATCGATTTCGAAAGGGTGATGTGCACCCCTGGTTTCAATCCAGAATTGTCGGTCATCATTGGGGTTGAAAATGTTTTTATAACATAAGAGGTATTATACAATAGATGATAACTAATATTGATAAATAGTGATCGATGATATATATGGATGATACGAAAACAAAAAAAACTAATGTAGAATGATGTGAAAAGATGAGACAGACAAATGGAATAAGCTATGCAAATATACATAATAAATTATCATCCATCACTTTTTATCGTTATTAACTATTATCTGTTGTATAATATTATTTCGCTGATGTTAAAACATTTTTCAGCCCCGATGATAACGCAGAAGCTTGTATTGTGAACAATAAATATCCTGCGTCCTGACTACTTATCACCGATATAAAATTTGAAGTTTCTATAAAATTACATTTTAAGATACCTAGAATAGGCAGTAACTGAGGTGTTATGACGGATCATGAGAGCGGTCCAATACTCGCGACCTTCCTAAAAGAATTTTTTATTGTTGAGGTGGTCTTTGTCTGAGGTTATGTTTGTTCCAGTCGGTGTTCCCTAATCGTATGGACCGTAGCAGACATACTGGCTACCGGCCGCCTCTTCGCACAATGAGAGTCGGCGAATATCTGAGACCGGTGGCATTCCGACGGCTCCCCGCAAATTCTATGGCCAAGCGGGAAAAAAATTTATGTTTCGGTTCGTCCTGACGTTAATGGCGAAAAATATTGTTCTGGTCACGTACGATCCATCAACCAACAATTGGAAGGATTAATTATGCTGCCACTCGAAGGATTGTAAGGACCGGTGTTATGCTATAAATTTTAACTCCCAATACATAATAAATAATTGAATGAAAAAAACACTGCAAGCCAATCTACATAGATATATATAACCTACTTGTACCATTACAACCCATGAAGGGTCTTGGATTCAGTATTATTTTGGGAAGTACTGTTTCAAGGCCAACGGTTGTGCAGGGAGGCGATCGGGCCAGGATCACGCTCAACCGCCACCATTTCCCCCTTAATCAATTATTTTAATTAAGGGTACCAACTTTGTAGAGGCTGGGTGTGCCCCAGGAAATTCTCCCTAACCCTTCCATGAGTTACATTACAAATAGGGTGATTGAAACACAATGGAAAATGAATGTTTATCATTTCCAACTTTGGAGATTGGAAACGTCTTACATTTTCTTAAGGAAGCAATTATTGTTTTCCGATTGGTTAAGGATTGTCCAAAACCGTTAGCATAGAGAAGGAAATTTATATTTGAACTGGATATTATCATAAAAAGATAATTCAGTAATTGAGAAAAAGAAATAAATGACAGTATGGAGTGAAATATGAGGCACTTGTTGAGAAAATTGTTAACAGAACTGGAAAGTCTTTCTCGGTCAAATTACGGACTTTTTTTTTCATTGCATATTACAATTCAATTTCACCAAATTACCAACCATTGATAGACAGTTGGAGTCTTATTGTGCCACTGTGAAAGGACCAATACAGTCGGCAAACTTCTTGGACATGTCATTTCCCTGGAGCCTGTTAAAGCCATTGTGTATCTTAAGTACTCCTCCTCAGGATAACAGGTGTAAAATGAAGATGAGGTGTGTTGAGTGTATTAGGGCAACGTCCTGGCGATCCGGTTTTTGTGTGAGAACTGAGGCGGTGTGCCGGAGGATCGCATACTTTCCTGTAGGCGTTGATATCTCCGGAGGATGGTCGACAATGCGGAGCTCACCCCCGCGACCAATCGGCTCATTGTCGCCTCAACTCCCGACCACGGGGGATTTTTAATTCGAGGAAAAATCTCTTCAAGGAGAATGGCTCTCTTTTTCCAACCATTTTTTATCCCCGCCCTCATCGCCGTTCTTACTCCCTCCACTTCCCTTTTCACCTCGATCGATTGAATCCCGACGTGTGATCGACAGTCTATGGTCTAACGGGTGCGAAGAAGCTGATTTTTTCCTTTTTATGGGTGTTTTTCATTTTTTTTTTTGTCATCTAGGATCCTATCTCGCGGAGTACTCCACGAAAATCGATACATTGCCAGCGATTCCATCGCCATTTCCAGGAAGCCGGTACTTTCCCGATTGTCTGCATCCGTGACGTCGCGGTTATTGAATGAGTCGCAGGCGATCGATGATATAGCTGAAGAAAGAAATTCTATAAGAAAAAAACGATATGGCACATTGGCAACATCCCACACTGGCAAGAAGGGGAATTCACTTTAAACTAAGACGAATCACCGAGAAAGGAAATAACACGAAGCAATAATATTTGTCTTTTGGCTTTTAAATCTATCCCATGTTGGAGGATTATTCAATTTTTATTGCCCAATCGAAAGATTAAGAGACAAAACAAATATATTTAAAACATAACTTTAGCATATTTATAATATCATTTCTCGATAAAGTACAGGTGAATTTTACGAAAACTGATTAAATAGGAAACAATTATTTATTTGTTCCGCCTCTTATCCTAAGGATCATTGGCGTATTAAATCTCAATTTTATATTAAATGAATTTTTTATTCTTATTTTTATTTTTATTCTGTTATAATATGAATTATTTATTCTTTATCAATGAATGTTTTTTTTTTAAATATTTAAAATGAAAAATTGTACGATAAGGATTTATTCCATTGTTTGCCTTAGGGCAATGTAGCCACTGCATCCTTAAGGCTCGTGCTTCACAGTTCTTGAGGAAGTAATTATACAAACTAAAAGCTTTTGTTTCTCATTTATTTGAGTTGTCTTGGTTAGCCATTGGTATTTTATAAATTTTATATATTACCTTCAAAGAATTATTTGTTTCGTATATTATCCACACGGAATAATGGTTGTGCCACTACTTCGTAAACGATAAAAACTTAATCGTTTTTACGGTAATGTTCAACATGGCAATGAATTGATTAATAAATAAGGAATACAAGATGTTATCCAAGAGTCATAAGTCAGCTGCGCCAGCTCATAGAAGAAAAATGAAAAAAAAAAAAAAAAAAAAAAAAAACAACAGCCAATCCTAGAATTACTCAACCTCGAGAAATCTTTATCATTGCTAATTTATGCAAGAGGTCTTTAATTGCATTTGAATGAGACAAACACATCACCTCTAATAATTCACAATGAGACGTACTTTCCGACTGATTCAATCAAAAGCGCTTAGCTCCGAACGGCTATTGAATATTAAACGCATTACAATTAATGCTGCTAAATAGGGTTATTTATGTGCCATGAGCCAATGCGCCGGTCCTTGCGCAATGAGCATTGACTAATTAAGGAAGTGGGATTGAGCACATGCACACGGAGGTCGCCGACGTGGGTGTTGGCCACTATTAATGGAAATATCAACTCCGTTCGAAACTGCTGAATTGTCTGCAATAAAAGTTTCCGCTACACGGTTCTCGATCCGATCTGGGCCGGGTATAAAATTATTTTTTGCTCCGGGCGCCAGGAAGAATTTCTTGGGGACGCCCACTCGAAATATATCACATCCTGCGATATTAAACATATAATGTTATCGGATTATAATGTCCCTGATATGGAAACAAGAGTCGAATAGACTAATTTGCAATTAATAAGACGTAATCCTTGGGATGTTTATATCAATATTTATCCTTTCGATAATTTACAAATATACTGAAATAGTAATTCGTTGTTTTGGATACATACATTTTTAAGTCAAATTTAATTTTTCTACCTCAGATTCAAAAGTCTTGAGTTCAAATTCTTTCCAACAAAAATGAAATCTTTCCATATCAAATTCATTGATTTTCATTTAAAATACAGCTTTTTTTTTATCTTTTCAGAATTATTCGAAATAAGAAATAATGTACTTTTTTATAGAACAATTTTGAAAGTTAAAATAAATCAAAATTTTAATTTGAAGGTACGATTGTGTTTATGGAGATTTATATTTAGTTACTTGTCTAATGTATTTACTTTTTATTTTTTTAATAATTATTTCTTTATTTAGTTTTTTTTATTTAATGTTATTTCTTGTTTTTACTTTTTTTATTTATATAATTTTTTGTTTTTGCTATGAAAAATAATTTATTTGCGCCTGTCAACTTTGTTAAGAATTACTATATGTGCTCGAAATACAAGATATAAATGACATGTTAAGCATGGGGGAGGAAAGTACTCAGTAGCACCTCTTCCCCGACTTGTTTCTTGAATTCAAACGAATTTTGGAAGAACTATGAAACTTAGTTTAGTGTATTTAAACAACTAAATACAATATTTTATGATGTTTTTTAATATCGTTAAATATTTGTGGATCGCAAAACAATAAACTTTTATTTCGCATCTTTATTTTGTTTACTTAAATACGATTATCAATAAAAATAAAAATATGTTTTTGTATTTTTCAGACTTCTTAGGGTACACTATATTTTCGTTTGTATTAGTATTTTTATGTTTACTGATATATGTAATTACAAATTAAGGAAAACTGGAGTTAAATAAGTATTCAGGATAAACTAGTTTATATTAATAGAACTTATATGTTTGGGCATTTAGATTAATTTCTTTCAATTATGCTTATTTTAAGAGGTTTTTAATACCATTTCTAATGGTAAAATAAAATTTCTCTGGTTTTTTTTATTTCTTGTTTTTATATTTTAATTGAATTCTATAACACATTTTTTTTCTTAATATTAATTTAAATTTATTTATTTTTAGAGGGTATCTAAAGAATAAAATTATGGCCTGTTCTGACAATCAATTAATGCCCTTCAAGATTTCAAAATATTTTTGTTGATTGAATCTGCACGCGCAGTTATATGATTTAGATTTCAAATGAATACATTTTATTACAGCATTACCATCTCATATCATTGTACATGTGCTCTGGTACTAATTGAAGAATTAATGATAAACATAAAAGTTTAATTACTTTAAAGATTTTGAACATTCATTGTAGCCTGAATGCATGCCTTAACTCTATATTGATGGAGTCAGTTAACTACAGGATTTTAATAAGATTTTTTATATAATTAAAAATGAAAAAAAAAAAAACAAGCAGAATTCTCAGATATAGAAATAAATATCATGGGATGGTACTAATGTTCAGCCGCATGTTTTTGCTAATTATCGGAAATCAAGTTAAATACTTTAGAACCAGCCGGGTCCTTAATTGAATACGATTAAAACCCCTCTCATTAAATGCAAATATTATTCAGAATCATTTTATTCCCTGCGGTGGAATAAAATATGTCACAAAGAAACGCACAAAAAAAAGAATAATCTGTCGAATCTACGGAATCTGGAATTTTCTTTTTAAATCATTCCGAAGAAATTTTTTTTTTTTTGTTAATTTTTTCTTCTTTTTTTTCGATCTCCTCCGCCATAATTAAAACCTCAAATGGAGAAGAAACCGATCCATCAGATAAGAAGATGGTATTTCATGCCTCGGCGGTGGACGTCTTGTTATCCATCCCGGAGCACCATTTCCATCGGTTCTCATCAAAGTTATAGCCTTGTCGAGATGTTGTTTATCATTTTTTTTTTTTTTACTGGTATCTAATTATTAAAATTTAAAAAAAACGAGCATTATTGCATCTGATATCCGCACATGTTGCAATAATTTCCAGATTAATAAATATTCTTTTTTCAGTAACATAAAATAAATTTTGTTGTGTCACATCCATGTTGGATAAAAGAAGAATGTTTACCAATTGCATCATTTCGAGTTAGCTAAACGTTTCGAAAAATAGACCGATAAATCAAACTTACAATACGCATAATTAATTAAAAAAATATATTTTCAATTCTTGATTTTCATATAGAATATCTTCATTTAAATATAAATAATGTTACAATATTAAAATGCAAAATAGGACTTGCTTTTACAAGTCTTAAAGACAAAAATAACAAAAAAAAAATATATATATATATTAAAATATTTTATATATATTAGTTTTTTTTTATTTTATTATTTCATACTACCTTTCTATAGTCCTTAGAAAGTTAAATACGTGATGGGGATTAGACATGGTTTATAAGTTTGTTTTCAATCATATTGCAACATCTGACTATTATAATAAAAATCAATTAATTTTTATGCCCAATAATGGACTATATTTGTTCCTAAATACGCCTTAATTAATAAACGTTGACTAGATAAAACAAATTGAAAAGAATTTATTAAGTAATAGATGATTTTAGACTGGATATGATTAAGATTTAATATAAAGATGTTGGAAAACATCAACACAAAGCCTTGAATTTCGTGAATCGCAGTAAATAAAGGCAACACTAAATCAAGATATCACTAATAAAAATTTTAAAATCATATAAATACAAAACAGAGATAGTACATCACATATTAACAGTCAATCACTGCAAATATAGTCAGCAAATCCTGATTAATCTATTATTTTCAAGAATGAAACTTTACGATCGATAAGGAAAAAACATAATCCATATCAAAATTATACTTTTATAAATGAGACTGAGGGTGATGTTTTTTTTTAGATATGGCTTCACAGTCATAGATGATACTGACATTACAGTCGCCCTAACATTTCAAAATGGCACCCGATTAGGGTTTTATACGCTAATATTTCGGAAAAATTTTATGTTTTTCGAATTATATGGTTTCCTGTTTGGAGATCGAAAAAAAAAAATGTAATTATTTACAGAATTTATTTTATTTGTAAACGTCTCTTTTAATATTTCTAATATACTCTTAAGAAAATTATATGTAATCTTAAAATGTAAATGGATTCATATAAACTTAATATGATATAATACAAAGAGAAAAATGGAACAATAAATAAACAAGTGTTTTAAATTCAAGATTAACACGATGATGTATTAATATATGCAAACATATTTTATAATTTTCATTAAAAAGTACTTATTAGATGTTTGATATTTATACTTAAGTCTGATGTTGTTTAAAGTTCCTTGTTGTATCATTCCAAAGATGCAGTGTCATTGCCACCGAAGATGGCCTCTGCTATTTACAAACAGAAAATTTATACTCGGCAGGAACTAGCGTTGGCCCAATAAATGTTCCCGCCATTTTCCTATGATTAATGCCTCTCTATTTCTAGAATTATGGAAAGGCACTTAGGGACCTATCTTTAGGCCCCTTTCAATCGAAGCAAATCAATCTCAATCTGAGGGAATCACACTCACACTAATTCAGCGCTGCTGATGATTAATATCGAGGTCGCCTCGTCCTTAATTCTAATTATATCCTGATGAAGTAATGGACCTTCCTAGTAGGTCTTGTTATTTATGTCGCTTTTCCATTTACGAAAATAAACAATAGTGAAACCAAAAATAGATCAACATAACGTTAAGGACAAGGATGCAGACGTATCACATGCTGGCCTGTCA